AAAACAGTAGGTAGCTAGGTATATTTGGAAAGCAATACAAAAATAACATAAATAGGCATATGTATTTTTATGATGATTTAAATATCAATAATTTTTGTTATAATAAAAACTAGCGTGTATTAATCAAATTGAATTGGACAATTTATATAAATTGACAATAATTAACAATCATTAACCTATAAATCAAACATATTTAAATTATTTCATTAGTATAAAAATAAAATCATATTTGTTCTATTTATTAGATCACATAAATGTTTGATGTTTTAAAAATGTATTGGTAACAATTTAAATTTAAATATCATGGTTATGATTTTGATTTAAATACTTACAAATAATAAATTATAGAACTATTATTTGAAGTAAGAAAAACTAATTTGACAAGAAATAAAGTTGGAAAAATTATAATAAACATTATAGAAAATAGACTGATCAAATATGAATACAATTTGATAAATTAGATGTGTTGATAAAAATTGTTTGCTTTTAAGCAGATTCTTGCAGCATACGGTAGTTGTACCCAGATCCTCGTTCTAAAGTTGAGCTACAAATAGGCWTTTTCACTGTTACAGTATTATCATCAGATCGCAATCCATATCCACCACCACCAGGAGTCAATAACAAAAATGTATCCTGAAATTAATTGAAAATTTCATGTAAGAGAATATATTGCACAACATACTAAATTTATCATTTGTGTAAATTATCAAAATACTTATATAAAATAACTTACACCAGGATTAATGTCGACTGCAGTTTTAGCACCTAGTCTAATTTTTCTGCCATCACGTTTTATTAATAGATTTTCRCCTTTTTGCCCATTCTCACCTCCTGTAAAAGATTTTATTTTATATAAAAAAAATATTCATACAAACAAATGATATTAATTTTCAAAAAAAAAAAATAATAGAATATTATATGTAGTAAAAATATTAACTTATGTATATTTTATACCTTTAATTCCGTTAGGGGCAAAAGATCGCCTTTCAGTTAGTATAGACAAMGTCACTGGAGATCTAAATTGTAATTCTCTTACAACTCCATCACCACCACAATATTTGCCAATTCCCCCAGAGTTTTCACGTAATGTAAATGTAGTTAAAAACACAGGATAACGTTTTTCTAATATTTCAGGATCTGTTATACGAGTATTTGTCATATGAGTATGAACTCCACTACGACCAATCCACGTAGAACCCTAATAATTAATATTTAATGACATTTAGACTAAAATTTAGATAAGATATTAAGAAAAACACTATTAGTTTTTACAGCTCCAGCACCACCAGCAACTGTTTCATAGTAACCCCAATCATCTTGGCCAAATGTTATGTTGTTCATGCAACCCTGACTATCTGCAGCAGCRCCAAATGCTTTTAACACAACATCTACAACACGTTGTGAAGTCAATACATTGCCACCAACAACAGCAGCATTCTCTGATGGATCAAGTATAGAGCCGGAAGGAATAATTACTTTGATCGGTTTTAGACAACCCTAAAAAACAACAGGAAATAAATGTAACTCAGTTCTTTAAAATAGCAAAAATTAAAATTACTTGGTTTAATGGTATATCATATCCAATCATACTTCTTAAACAATATATTAATGCTGATAATGTAATAGCTTTTGGTGCATTACAATTGCCCCAAACTTCATAACTAGTTCCGCTATAAAAAATAATTAAATTAAAGAACATTGAGTTAAAGTTATARAAAAAACACTAAAATTACCTAAAATCAAATAAAGCTTCTCCATTATGAACATTTAATTGAATTGATAGTTTTATAGTGGATCCATCATCTAAATAATCAACTGATTCCAATGTGTTCAATCCACAAGCTAATAAATGAGCGTTGCCAATGTTTTTCAACATGTCTCTTACTGCAATCTCTGCATTTTTTTGTATATGGTCCATGTATGCTTGAACAACATCTAATCCGTACGAATTTATGAGTTCAGTGACTAAGTAAATACCCTAAGTAAAATTTACTAATATAGAGGAAACTATTTAATTAAAAATATATATATATAGTTAAGTACTTTTTGATTTGCTGCAATCTGAGCTTTCAAATCTGATAAATTATCCTTGAGGTTTCTAGTGCCAGAAGAACCAGGCAAGAAAGCAGGAGCCATAAGAGCATTGGTAACTTCTTCTTCACAGAAACGTCCACTACGCACTAAGAAGAAACTTTTAAACTGGGCTCCTTCTTCTGACAATGATTTTGAATGTGGTGGCATTGATCCTGGTGTTATACCCCCAATGTCTGCATGGTGTCCCCGACTTGCAGCATAAAATACAGGTTTTGGTTGACCACTACAAAATAAAAATAAAAACAGTAAACAACTTACTAAAATATTTAATTCTATTTACACACGGATAAAACACAGGAGTTATCACAGTCAGATCTGGCAAATGAGAACCACCTGCTTTTGGATGATTGCTAAGAATCACATCACCTTCTTTGATCTCATTACCAACTGATTTAATCTAATAAAGTGTTAAACTATGTGTAACATAACTATGTTGGATTGAATAGTTAATAAATAAATAAGTCAAGAACTACTTGATACTGAACAGCTTCTTGCATAGCACCTAGATGCACGGGGATATGAGGTGCATTTGATACTAATCCACCATCTGGACCAAATAATGCACATGAAAAATCTAAACGTTCTTTGATGTTGGTCGATATCGACGTTCTCTGAAGTATTCTAAAATGTTAAAAAGAGTTATGATTAACATAATTAGGAAATGGGTTTATACATAAATGTATGATATATTTATCAGTAAAACCTATTTAAATTCTGACAAAAAATATACCTGATTTAGATCATTCTAATTATATAGAGTAGTCTAATATTCCCAGCCAGATAAATGTTTCAAATTATGTTTTCGAATATGAAGTGTATAATAAAAAAGACAACTGGCGTACAATTTATATTGATAACATTAAAATTGACTGTTATTAGTCAGAAATAATAAATTTGTCAATTCACACATATGAATGTAGTTTAGGTGTTAGCCAAAACTGATCAGTCAGTGTTGTGTTGTATATTTTTTTGAGTAAAGCAGAGTAAATTGTTGTATCTAGTGTTTTTTGATATAGATATAATTTTAAAATGCCTAAAATAAAAATACTAATAAAGAGTCGTTTACAGGCTCATGTTTCACAGCACAAAGAAAGTTTTGAAACCGATTTGTTATTACAATGTTTTTGAAATCCCAATTAATGCTTCTARAGTGTTTCTAGTAGACCAACATCAACATGCATTACATGATAAACATGAAAACAATTTATGATATACCTTTTTTCTATGATTATATTTAATGTTATAAAATGTTTTAACTTTAATAATATTAAATTTTAACTTTTATGTGCATATTTTGTAGCATAATTAAGTATTTTTAGAATTCTTTTGTGCTGATAAAATTTGTTTTCTAATTATAAT